GTAGATGAATATTCAAATAAAGAGAGAGAGAGAGAGAGAGAGAGAGAGAGAGAGAGAGAGAGAGAGAGAGAGAGAGAGAGAGAGAGAGAGAGAGAGAGAGAGAGAGAGAGAGACTACAAAAGGCCATTGCACAGCTGGAATGTTCCAGCTGATATTCCCGATGGCTGGACAGGAAGAGAGTGGAGTCCTGACAGGAAGAGTGTGCTGGGAGGGCTAGCGCTGGGTGCGGAGAGAGAGAGAGAGAGAGACTACAAAAGGCCATTGCACAGCTGGAATGTTCCAGCTGGTATTCCCGATGGCTGGACAGGAAGAGAGTGGAGTCCTGACAGGAAGAGTGTGCTGGGAGGGCTAGCGCTGGGTGCGGAGAGAGAGAGAGCTGTTTCCTGTTAGCTGCTCTCCCTCTCTCAACACATTTCTCTCTAAGTGTTCTCTGTCTACCTATCCCTCTGTCTTTCGTCATGCTTCACTCCCCATCCACATTAGGACTTGTAGGCCTATTGGTTATGAAACCATCCTATTTCCCTCAAATGTTCTCCTTCAAACTCCTCATGTGAGTTCACACAGCCACAGGGTATGATACATTTGGTCAATGGGGTTGTGGGAGGGAGGAGAGTGGGTCAAGCTGCCAGGCCGTCAGGTTGCTTGAGGTGTAAATAAACTGGGGAGCAGGAACAAGGTGTTACAACGGTGGCACTTCCTGCCTGTCAGATCTGTCAGCCAGGTTACAAACCCACGTGGGCTCACAATGAAAGGCCATGTACCAACAGGACAACACCTAGTTAATGTCAGAGGTTTGGCATAAAGAGGGTGAGAAAACACGGAAAGAATGAGAGTCTTACAGTAGATATGAAATAGAGTGGTACGCGAAGTGTGAGAGGAAACATTTCTTTGTCTCCTAAACTCAGTAGACAATCAGAGTTTCCTATCAGCTCTGGAGTATGGGGAAATTGGCTGCCCTGGAAAGGAGAGGGCCACTCTCACAGCCAATGGGAAGTGCCCCTGTCACTCTAATCAGGAGTGATAGAGAGGAGGAACCAAGTGTGTGTGTGTGTTTGCATTTGCACATAGGTACATGTGCATGTCTTTCTCTGTGTATGAATGAAGTTGTTTTTAACTACGTCTCACTGGGTTTAGAAAGCCCATGGATCTGTCATGGATAACATACACATGTATAAATGAACCATCAGAGCCAGATGTGCCACCTCTTCACTTCCCCTAGAGATGGATCGCCCAGTGGGATGTTTTCGGGGAATCTCTCCCTGAGAGGCATGACCAGTTTGGCTTTGATGGAGAGCCATGTGGCAGAGATCAGGGGGTCTTACTGGGAGCTGTAGACAGTTACATACAAGGGGAGGAGGGCAAGAGGATTACTGTTTCATCAATACAAATCCATAGAGAGAGAAGAGACACACTGACATAAACACACATATACCACGGATACAAACTCTGATTAAGAACACACATACTATATGCAGTACATGGACGCAATGACAACCTTCTCAATGATTGTCCCCCTCTTTCTGTCTCTCTTGCACCTTTTCCTCCATTCCCCCACCATACGACCCACCCTACCTGCCCCAGACAAGAATGTGTCTCTCCACACCCGCAACACAATCCTCTGTTTGAAGTCAGATGAACACAACATGTCCAGAGATCTCTCCATCCCTCTCTCTGTTCCCTTCCTTCCCCTCCTCTGTCCGTCTGTCTGTCTATCTGTCAGCCGTGCTCATCTCCAGACCCTGCAGCTGTGAGAGGGGCACAGGCGCTCTCATTGTGCTCCTCTTCCTCGCCCTCGCTCGTCTGCACCCGCCACAATCACACCTGCCACCTGCACAGGACATGGGCCCCGACCAGGCCGCTTTCATCCCCCTCCCCAGTGCAGACCCCTCTGCCCCAGGCCTGTCACTGTGGAATGGCAGGCACACAGGCTAGAGGATGGAGAGCCATCTCTGTTTGTTTCCAGGTCAAGAGGAGCCAAAGTATGCAGGATTTGTCCACAGCGAAGCTACAGATTTTAGCATAGGATGCTAAAAAAATATATGATTTTGAATACAACAGGAGACAGGGACCTGGGAGTGGGTGGGTATTGCCAGAATGCATGATGGGGATTTTCCTTGTTTATTTTGCCTTGTAGCCCACCATCACTTTAGGAAAAATACCATCAATAACATTTTAGCTATTGTGGGTAGTGGGTACAGTCTTTAAAGCATGGAGGACAGTCAAGTATGACAGATATTTGATGGCACATGGTTTGCATATTTGCATTTGTAAGTGTGTATGAGTGTTCATGAATGCATGTGTGTGTGTGTCTGTCCATGCCATGCTGGACTCAGGAGTAGACGTAACATAGTAAATGTAAATCCAGGACACTCCAATTAGTATGATATGTTACGTTTTGTATGATATTTATTAATTTGTGGATGTCCATCATCCATTTGATATGATATGTTGCGAATTACAATTCGTATATGTTACAAAGTGCAATTCCTACAATATGTTACGAATTTGCAAAATGTATGATATGTTACGAATTCAAATTTGTTGTGGCTAACATTAGCTAGGTGGCTAACGTTAGCTCGGTTAGGGTTAGGGGTTAAGGTTAGGAGTTAGGTTAAGCAGTTAAGGTTAGCTAACATGCTAAGTCGTTTCAAAGTAGCTAAAAAGTAGCAAGTAGTTGCAAAGTTACTAATTAGCTAAAATTGTCCGTGATGAGATTCGAACACGCAACCTTTGGGTTGCTAGACATTTGTGTTATACGCCCATCCACCCCGACCAACCACCCTACTTTTGTTTTTGCATTAAGTAACCTTCTGTGTTATGTAATCATACCAAACGTAACATATCATACTAATTTGAGTCACCTGGATTTATGTTTACTATGTTATGTCTAGTCTATATGAGACCAGGCTTTGCATGCGTGTGTGTATGTATGTGTGTGTGTGTGTGAGTGAGTGAATTTGGACACCGAGTATTGAGGCCTAAAGCCCTTGATGTTTGGATTAGTTTCCTCCTAATCTGCATGGTTTCTCTCTTCAACTTTCTGCTGTGTGCGTGTGTATGTATGTGTGCATGTGTAATAAAATAGGGACAGGGAGGATGGTGTCTCTGAGGGAGTGATTTATGAGCACGCACTTTGAAGGGTCTTCAGTGCAGGATATTGTTCTCTGACAGTGACTGGTCCCTCGGTAGGGTGTGTGTGTTAGAGAGAGAGAGAGAGAGAGAGAGAGGGAGAGAGAGGGAGAAAGAGATTAGGAGAAGGGGGCTGCAGGTGAGCTCTCAACATAATCAATCACCACCACATCACGTTACTCTTGCCCTCTGGATTCCCCATTTCACAGGTACCTGGCTTTTTCTTTCAGATTCTTCCAAAACTATTAATTAATTCTGATAACTTAATGCATCAGGAAATAATTATTATGTATGAAACACATAACAACCACATGGTTCTCCTTACACACACACACGTGTTCCTCAGCTTTCACTCTTCGCCACATCAGGATATAGTTCTGTTTGTGGATTCCGGTTTAAACAGAATTTTGCTTGGATTTAGTCAACAGCTCAACCGCAGCCCTGGTGCGACCGGTTATCACACCCCCTATAGGCAGAAACTAAAGCAAGGCAGGGCCAGAACTGAAAAGAACATCTCTAACGAATCTTCACCGTCTACCACCCACATATCAACAAACCACATACAGTAAATCACACTAAACTATTACAATAAAACACATTTTAAATCTGGACCTATGGCACGCATTTGGGTAAGACAATCAAATTATTGCTACTATTGGAGGTGATGCCAGATGTGAGGAATTCATAGTATTATGAAGAACTAATGCAACATACTGTACTTAGGCAATATTTACGCTCTCTCCCTTGTGATATTAAAATTACATATTATTTGCCAAACATACAGCGGTTCACGAATAAGTATGCAACCTGCTGTAGAATGCAATAAGATCTAACATGCTGGTAACCAAGTTGTGATGTGATGGCGTCATTCGATAGTAAGAAGCATTACATTACCTCAGCTGCTTTGTTTGACATACAGCAGCAAACAAGCGAGGGAAACTGTTAACTACAGTCTGTCTGCAGTATAGTACATTGGTGTGAGAATGAGAGGCTGAGGTGAGTCTCCCAGCCCTGCAGCTCCAAATCTCCACTGAAGCGCAAACACAAAAATGCCATTGTGGGGCCTTGTAGCGCCACCGAACATCAGTGCTAACAGACATTGTCTTTGCCTTCCTCCAATGTGTATTTTCACAATGATTATTGTAACGCACATACAATAGATTAACGTTATCATGGCAACTAGAATGGGTTGTTATTATGGCACAGGAAATGACCTGGCACGACCCTAAAGGGAAAGCGGTGACCTCAGACTGACCTGTCTCTCATCTCCTGTTAGTCCTTCTCTGATTGGGAAGAATTAAGCAGGTCTACTAGGGAGTGCCACCCTCCACTAGCAGTTTGGGTTGCTAGGTGTGGTCATCCTAAGGCCTGGTGTGCACTCTAGAATACATACTTGTGTTGGAAATTCTCCAGAGGAGTGTGTAAAGAGAAGGGAAATGTAATCAATGATCTCATATACAGTATGTGACGTCTTTGAATGTAATGGAGAATTCAACCCACCATTGCCCTCTCATTTGTTAATTGATTGACAGGTGAGCCACAATTTAGCATGTCTTCATCACATCAGCCAATTATATTCTTGATCAGGAATACCTTTTTTTTTTTTTTTTACACTTCTTCCCCATGATTTAGAGAGAATCAGCAAGCCACATCTACATGGATCACATTATATGGATTGTGCACCAGTTGTTTTAGTTTGCATATCGAAATGAAATTGTGCAAACTTTAAGTCAAAAGCCTCACTTCACCACCAGAGATGGGGAAAATATCTTGAAAGCAAGAGTGCCCTCAGGTGGTGGAACTAGGTTACTTCCCTAAAGAGTTTCAAAAGTGGAGGAATCGTTCAGTTTTTTAACTGCTGTCAGGCAATGTTAACACAGTTGATAAAATCTGTCATGTTTTTCTTATTTATTTCAAACTTGGTTCATTTTCCCATTTACTACTGATACAGGTTCACATACATTATAACTCAATGTCTTCGATTGCCCCATACTCTTCCCCACACACATGGCCTAATCTCATGCATTCACTAAATCTCCTATCAAAGAAAACATACCATTTACAAAAAAGAGAAATGATACAAATGTTAGAAAAAATTACAGAGGGACAATGAGAAACATAACATGAAGATAGTAACCCTTTGGATTGGGGTCCACAGTGCTTCAACTTTGTTCAAATATATAAATATAATGGCCATGGGGAAGTAACAATGGTAGTTCGTAAGTGCAAAGAATATGACAAAGACATTTAGAGATTGTTTGACTCAAGGGACCCCTTATTTCAGGGGCATTGATAACTACTCCACCCTTTAGAAGAGAGTACAGGTTGGAAGGACTCAAGGGAGTGTAGACACGGGACAGATGAGGCATTTGACAACCCTTACAGAGTAACACGAAAAAAAGATTGTGTCTCCAACAATCATTCAAAAGGGTAAAAAAAACTAAATACAAAAGAGGATTCCAATTTAACATAAATGCTGCATTTACTCAGAGCAACAGAGCTCTTCCACGCAATTTAACTTACTTTAGACTGCCATGTAAGGTGTGACGCAAGCAATCCCTGTGGTGTTCAGCATAACGCTGTTATGTTTCTAGCGAGGCACAAAGGCACAAATGTTTGTATGCACCTCCAGGTTCCTTTAGTGTGTGTACTTTGTGTCTGGGATGGACAATGAGTTTGCGGGTGAACGTGTGCAAATGTAAATTCTTATTATAAAATGACTGCAGGACCGGACCAACAGATGGGTAGTTGGGGCAGCACGTACGTGTGTGTGTATGTGTATTGTAGGCTGACACGTGTATAGTGGTGTTTACAGGGTGTCCAGCAGACTGTCGACCCGGGTCACCAGCTCCAGTCTCTTGCTAGCGAGGGTCTTCTCGTTGTCGATGTAGGCCTCCTTCTTAACCTTGCCTGCCACCAGACGCTCAGCCTCCTGCCAGGAGCGACACACCAGCTCCTTCACCTGGCCGTCCAGCTTCTGCACCTCACCCACCTGTTGACAAACACAGGGGAATGTGAGGTTCAGCAAAGTGTATACATACAGGTAGGTATAAACTGTACACACACCAAGTACTTTACACACAATTTAATACACACACACACCTTATCTGCAAGGTCGGAGCCCTCTGCTTTGAGGCGTGCCTGCAGGGAGCTGATGTCGTTGGTGAGGGTGCGGTGATCGGCCTCCAGGGTCTTGCGGCCGCTGTTCAGGGCACCCGTGTCTCGAGATTGCTTATAGCGATTCACCACCTCATCCATGTGGCGGTACAGCCCTAAACGCTTGTTGACGAGGGTCAGGACCTGCTCTGTGATGGAGGAGACCTTCATACGAACCTCTGCAGCAGGGTCCTGAAACGGGGGGAAAGAATGAAAGAGAGAATACAGGAAAAAGGAGATAAACTTAGAAGGGAGTGATGAGGAGAGTAAAAGTGCTACCACTAATAAAGAGACTGAGGAGGAGTATGTTGAGGATGGTGTACCTTAGTGATGGAGAAGTCCAGGCGCACATAGATGATGACAGTGAAGAAGAGGATGTAGAACGCCCCCACCACCAACAGGGGCTCCTGCAGCATCAGGATCTTATTGAAGGTATAATGCACCTGGGGGATGAGACAGAGAGAGACACTGAGGAACTCACAGCATCAATTGGGGACCAACCTTACATCTAAATATTTTCTCTGAAAGGGTTGGCGGCTGTAAATCATGCATCTTGAATGTTTCTGTTTTTTATTTAGGTGGTGGTGCTTCTAATAATCCTGTCATAGTAATGACACTCTGGTTTTACAGACGCAGTGAAACAAAAATACAAACGTTTTAATCTCCCCCCTAAAGTCTCACATTCCATCCTCCACTAGGGGCTAGCAGCTCACCACTACGTCCTGGATGTGCTGCTCCACTAGGTTGTTCTTAGAGGCCACCAGCACGGGACGGCCAAAGGTATCCAGGTAGGTGTAATGCAGCTGGTCTGGAATACGGTCAATGGGGTAGGGGGTTTCCACATGGATGTTCCTGAGAGGAAGAGACGTGGATCAATAGAATGAAACAGGAGATCTATCCATTTCCACAGACGCTAAAGGTGTGTGCACATACATTTACATATGTCATTTAGCAGACACTCTTATCCAGAGCGACTTACAGGAGCAATTAGGGTTAAGTGCCTTGCTCAAGGGCACGTCGGCAGATTTTTCACCTAGTCGGCTCGGGGATTAGAACCAGCAACCTTTCGGTTACTGGCACAACGCTCTTAACCACTAAGCTACCTGCCACATACACAAATACACGCTCACCTGGCGCCTTCTGGCAGTATGAGTTTAACAGTGAAGGAGTCGATAACCTGGTCATCATATACATGATCAACCAGCCTCATCTTCAGAGCGTACTGATCCCCTGAGGACCATAGGAATATATGAATCAAGAGTTAGCATATTATTTTGTGGCTTTCAGTTAGGCCATTTCTCTTTAAAGAGTTCTGGTTATAAACAGTTATAGTAATATGGTAATCTAGTCAACTCACCCAGGGTGTAGAGGTACTCGTAGCTGGGCAGATTGTAGCCGATAATGTAGTGGGTTTTCCAACCACCAAACAAGGGGAAGCGGGGCCTAACCTCCACCTCCACAGAGTCTTCCAGAATCTGGAGGTGGGAGGTGGAGATGTTGCCGATCTCATCCCGGTAGTACACATCCTGGGCTGAGGCAGGAAGGATGGTCTTTGGGAGAAAGAGGAGATGTAGTTATTATACAATCTTGACAGGTCACCTTTGAGAGCATGATTTGCAAATGCACCAATATTCCATGCCAATAAAGGAGTCTTTAAAATCAACACACCTTAAAGGATTTGACTGATGAGATGCCACTGTCAGACTGGCGCTGGTAGTCATAACGGGAAAAAGGACCTTTCAGGAATGCCCCTGTGTGCCTCATGTCGATGGTCTCTTCCACAGCAATGTTTCCCCAATGTGAGACTTCAATGATGCGGGTGATGCTGCTAATGGTGAGGAAGGGGGTGTTGTTCTCATAATGGACCTTCAGGGCATCCTAAAAAGAATGAGAAACAAAAAAATATCACATTTCTCCAAATATGAATCCACTAACCCAATGTTTGCTATTCAGCTGGCCCAACAGTGTTTAGACCATTCAACGACAAATCAATGCATCTCAAACCCAGTCAGGGCCTTCAGAGACATTTTACCTCACTGAATGGGGCGACATCACGGAAGGGGCCGTACTCGATGGCCTCATCGCTCTTGCTGGGATTGCCCAGCTTGGTGTAGCTCTCCACAGTCTTAGAGGCGAGGCGGACACGGGTGGTCTGGCTGCGGGTGGGGTAGGGAGAGTACAGGTAGTGGTTGCCCTGAAACACCACCAGCTGACGCTCAGCCTGGGTGATGTGAGTGGGGAAGGGCCTCAGGATGTGGCTCAGGACTGTCTCCACCTTCACTCGCAGCTTTGCGCCAACACCCAGACTGGAGGGTAACTGCACCTTGTAGAACTCCCCACTGTAAGAGGATAGCAGATAGGAGGGGGGTCAGGTCAGTGGACACCAGCACACATGGCAAGGGGACAAACTGAAACAGTGAGAGAAACTCCACTGGGAAAAAGGGGTGAAGTTTAACATGGTGAAAATGTGCATATCTACTAACTTTACAGTCTAATGCTTGACAATGGATAAGCAAGGTAACCTTAGTGAACAGGGATGCACCAGCAATTAAAGACCTCTCACTTTTGGCCTTGGATAGTTGTCTGCTTGAGCTCAAGTATGCCATCCTCCTCTTCATCACCCTTCACCTGGCAAAGAGACACGTGTTTACATGTCTGTCCAATCTGGTGCAATTCAACTCTTATTACTGGAACTGGACATGGCCCTTATTCATTACAGGCAGGAATGAGTTTGAGTATGCAGCGTTGTGAATGTCGAGTTCGTATTCTTTCCCCACGGGTATGGGTGGTGTGCAAACAATCACTGACAGCACACACAAATTTGAATTTACAACCCCCACCATGAGGAAAACATTTACTCTAGCTAGTTACTAAACATTATCTGACATAATCAAAGGTCCCAAAAATCATGCACACAAAAGGAGCTGTTCAGAATACATATTAGACGGAAATAACTCCTCTCAGCGCATACGTGTCATTCGGTCACTGACAGAACGAGTGTTGCGGAAGTGAACTCGCTATCCCATTCAAACAGTTCCACGCCACAATCACATAATTAACTTATAATTATTTTTTTGCTACATCCTTGCATTGTTAGCTAGATCGGCCATTTAGCAAAAGTATACATTTTCTAGTTAGCAAGTAGCTAGCTAGCAAGTAGTTAGTTAGCTTCCTTGCCTTGACGCTGCAGGACAAATATGTGCATGCTAGCTAACTAGCTAGCCGGCTACCTATAATCATGTGTTCGGTAGCTACCTGGGAAAAAATGTGTGGTTTACAGCGAATACATTCCGAAGTCACTTACCGATGCTCCGACGTACGCGAGGTTGGGGGCCAAGTCGGGCTCTACTGCCAAGATAAAGCTATGTACCGCGGAGTCTCCCTGGTTTGACAGAATAATCTCTGCTGTTATTTTAGCAAGGTGCGTGCTTAGGTCCACCGTTCGTTTCACCTCCTCGTTCACCAGCCCGTCGGCAGCCACTCGATAACACAGTCCGCTGATAAGGAGCAGACAAGTTGGGACGGCGCAGAAGGGTATGCTTCGCGCCATGGTTATAGAATTCAACAGTATATACTTTGTTTAGTTGAAGCTAGAGGGAGAGAGAGAAAATGCGGCAAATAAGGACCGCGCGCTGCTGTAGGACCGAAGTTGCAGCCGAAAGGATGACGCTTCATTCATTCCTCACGTAATGGCGTAGACTGGTTTCCCAGGCTAAATGGTTATTCTTCTTCTATGATATCATGGCGGTCCGCAAACAATCGTTTAAGTGCATGCCGCCGCCACCTACTGTGCTGGAATGTACGATCAATCATGATCTGTCCAATTCCGTGATACTATGAAAATAAAATAACAATAAAATAAATCCCTACTAACTTCTACCACACCCTCCCCAACCCTCCTACCCCATTAAACGTTATCCATATCATGCTGAAACACTCCACCCTTAGGATTCAGCATGTCAACAACCATTTCAACAGTAACATCTGTTACCCCAATATCTATTTTGCTGTCTCCACAATAACCTTCAACCTGGCATTTCTGCTTTCCACAACCCAAGTCGTATTGATAACCTTACCAATAAAAGCTATGAAGTCAACATTATTCATTATCAAAGTGTCCTTTGACACCACACATTCATGAGTGCAAGATTTCTGAACAGGCCTATAAAACAATGCCAGGACCAGGAGAAACACCAGCCCCGAAATTAGGTGCACTTACTACAGGAGCAGCTATTGAAGCTCCATCATTCCACACTGTAGTTCAACCAATCTGTCTTACAGCTTCTGAATACGATACATCATGACTAATTCTATATCTCTGAGTCTCTCTAGCCTCTCTCTGCACCTGACATCCACCAAATGCTGCACTATGTTCCCCCCACAATTACAACACTTATTCTTCACATTGCTCCCACATTCACCCGTAATCATGTTCCTCTCCACACTTGGCACATATTTTCCTTCCTTTACAATGAACAGCTACATGTCCCATTCTTCTGCATTTAAAACACTGCAATGGGGATGGGACAACTTCTCTGACATTGAAACTAAGGAATCCTATCTGTACTTTCCCAGGCATAACCTTCTCAAACCTCAGTAGCACTGATAGGCTTTCACTTATTTGACCTTCTTTCCTACTGATCAACCTTCTGGCCTCAATCACTCTTTCTCCCTTCATATTTTCTTTAATATCATCTATGGACGTAGATACTGGGACCCCAGTGATGACTCCCCTCAATCTAGCATAAGCACCAGGGACATGGCTTTTAATCTTCTTCCCATTAAGCTTTTCCATTTTCAGAATCTTCTATTGCTGAGCCTGGCTACCTCAAAATATGAACAATCAACCATTTCCAATGAACCGAGCTAATTTCACCTCACCTACCTCTTTCTCTTTGGCATTAGTTAGTTGAATAGGGTGTAAGTGAGGCCCTGTGGTCTCATCAAATACAATCACCACTTTCCACTCCAACACATCATTACTCTTGCTTCCTACCTTGGCCCTCTTTATGCTTTCTTTACTAGACGCTCCATTGCTTTCTGTATCATGATCTCTCTTCTTCCTATGTCTTTCCACTACAGACCATTACGGTCCTTGACCCTCATCCTCCCGCTCCATACCATCAGAACTGACACCCATATTGTTCGCATTCCAGCACAGCTGTTGCTTCACCAACTTTTTCTCAATTTCAGGCTAAATGGTTGATGCTAAGGAATTGTTGAGAGTAGTGCGTTTGCTGAAGAGGAGTAGACTGAAAACAGTTTGTCTTATCAAAAACATGACAAGGCTGGCCCGTGCTTGAGTGTGAGTGAGGGCTTGACAACGCGCTTGGGTTGGATATGGCAGCGAGTAGTGTGGACTAACTGTCAGAGCTGGTGCTTCTGCTGGTCCTGGCATGGTTTCAAGACCTGTTTATACATCTTGCGATCATGAATGTGCTGTGTTAAAGGAAACTTTGGTAGTGAATAAAGTTAACTTCATAGCTTTCATTGGTAAGGTTATCAACATGACTCAGGTTGTGGAAAGCATAGTGGATAGTCAAAATAGTTATTGGGGGTAACATGTTACTGTCAATGGTTGTTGACATGCTGAATAATCCTAAAGGTGGATTGTTTTAGCATGATATAAAGTTTAATGGATTGGGGGGCTTGGGAGTTTTTTTTTTTTTTTTTAATTGGGGGGGGGGGGGGGGGGGGGTAGAAGTTAGTAGGGATTTATTTGGTTTTTAATGTTATTTTCTTAGTGGTACAAAATGAGGCCGACCATCATTGATCGCACACTCTAGCACAGTAGGTGGCGACATGCACCTTGACGTTTGTTTGCGGACCGCCATGATATCATAGAAGAAGAAGAACGGCGTAAACTGGTCCAAAGATGCTGTTCCGAAGGAAAAACGGCAGAGGGAGCCGTTGTCATTTTTTTTTGCAAAACGTCTCCAGTAACACATAGGTCTATGTGTAGCTAGTAGCTACAACCTACCCTTAGTTGAGAATGACCAGAATAGAGATGGAATATGTTCGACCCCTCCCTATCCCAGTCTGTCGTCCCCACTTACTTCAAGATGGCCATCATGTATGGCATTGTTCCTGTACCCAAGCATAGCCTAGGCAGCCGATAGCGCCGATCTAGCATTTCCGGTAATACACTCGTGTCCCCCGTGGACCGGTTCTTATATAAAGCATTCAGGCTGCAAAGTCATCAGTTCCTCCGTAACTAGCTTTAACGTCGAGAACGCGGGAAAAAACGGGGAAAATGTGTACTTTGTTTATGAAACACCATTTATCACCACCATTTTCGTATTTTCGGACAATTTAGGATGCACACCACGTTCAGCCAAGGATGTGCAACATAGGACCGTCACGTCATCGGGCGAAAAGCGGGGAGGGAGGCTCGCTTTTCTCAAATCGAATTGTAGCCTAAAATGCGCCGCTCCGTCCTTTTGTCAACAAGGCAGCATGGTGCATCGTCCAAACATACATCTCTTTCCCATAAAATACATGTTTGAATTTTCTAACTAGTTTGCATTGGGAAGACAGAACACAGAATCCTACTATTTACTAAACGTGCTTAATTACATCACTTTTGCTTCGAGCCGACTATGCCGTGGGCTGTGAACGGGGCACCTGGTTTACGCCCGGGAGGTATCCCGGTTCCAAATCGAATGCGATCCATTTTCTGCCGATGCAAAAAACGCCTACACGGGCGCCCGGGAGGGAGTCATCGAACCCCCTCAATGACCACTCAAAACCCTCCTCCCACAAGGCCTGAAAACTAGCCCAAAAAATATTTTTCGCAGCAAGAGAGGAGTTGCCACATTTATCCAATAGGTGTCTCTATAATGACAATCTAAATACGACTGGTAAAATTGCTTTACCTTGTTCTCTGCATTTCTCCCTTTGTTATGGTTCATCACACTAAATGATTTAATCTGAACTATAGAATTGATCGATAGTGAATGGTTAAGACATAGGCCTATGTTTTCTTTAGAAAACATTATTGTGAAATGGTGTTAACACAATGTTAAAATTGTGAAATTGTGTTAATACAAGTCACATTTCTCTAAAATAATCGCATTTTAAACTGGAGTATAAAAATCAAAAAGCATAAATGTACATAAATAATTAGCCTACATGTAAAAGTGTAGCCTAGGTTATATCCATAATAGCTACAGCCGCTCATGTCCACACTGATGTAATATATGAACACCAGGTTCATATATTAATATAGCATGTTGATATGTTATTATGCATGCCTGCATCATGGGCCCCTGTTGTGGGTTCGATTCCCACGGGGGGCCAGTATGAAAAAAAAAAAGGTAAGCACTCACTAACTGTAAGTCGCTCTAGATAAGAGCGTCTGCTAAATGACTAAAATGTAAATGTAAAAATGAATAGGGGAGTGTGTACTTATGTTTGGTGCTCAAATAATTTTGATGCACTATGAGAGGTAGGCACGCTTTTTCTGTCGTCTTCAGAAAAGTTAGATTCCTTTAAGCACAAAGTCGTACACACAGTGTATTTTTTGTATATGAATAATGTTGTATATTTAGAGTTTACTCATAAGTGGATGGTATTGTTAAGATGCAATTGTAATTGTACTTTTTAGGATGATATTAACATTCTGAATTCAACATGTGGTTACTAGCTAGCTAAAGTATTGTATGTGTGAACGATGGCTAGCTCCTCGACTGATCCCAGTCCTTTGTATTGTGCATCTATGTTGAAGAAAGAGGCGACAATGGGCAGAACATATTTGTGCTCTACAAATGTTTTGTATTTTCTTTTGGATGCAGAGAGAATTCTGATTAATTAAAACAGCCTGATCTCCGAAGTCCACGTCTATAGTCCCAATCAATCACACACAACGCAGAGATACCGCCGTGCAGTACAGCACCGGTTACATTGGTGCCTTCTAGACCCGGATTCATCGTTGATCGACGTCAGCTTGTTAACATATAGACTAATATGTTATTAAATTGTGTTCTTACACTGGTACAGTCATGTCCTATGAGAGATGTACAACTGCGCATGTGTATGAAAATAAAGAAAAGGGCATTCCCCCGTTCTGGTTAAAACACCAACGATGAACATGTGTGTTTATTCCTCCATTAAGTAAACCAGTATTCCTGTCCTGAAGATGACAGCACCAACCGGTTATGGGCCTAGAAGGGAACATGGAAGCCGATGGAATAGATTATGTTTCGACGGAGATGAAAAAAACTATGAGTTATGGGAGACAAAGTTTTTGGGGCACTTGCGTTTGCTAGGGCTAAAGGCCGCCATATTGAGCGTGGATGAAGATGAAGAAAACGGAGAGAAAAATGAAGAAGCCTACGCCGAATTGATACAGGTTTTGGATGATAAAAGTCTTTCCCTGATAATGAGAGAAGCAGCAGATGATGGGAGAAAAGCGTTGAAGATATTGAGGGAACATTATGCAGGTAAAGGGAAGCCACGTGTGATAAGCCTCTACACTGAGCTAACTTCTCTTCAGAAAGCCGCTGACGAAAGTGTTACGGACTATATAATTCGTGCTTAGATGGCTATTACAGCACTGAGGAATGCTGTAGATACTTTAAGTGATGGGCTGTTGATTGCAATGATTCTGAAAGGTTTGCCCGAATCATTTAAGCCGTTTGCCATCCACATAATGCAGAGTGACGAGCCGACAACTTTTGGCAAGTTCAAAACCAAGT